TACCTCAATGAGAAATAAGTCATCTACAAAATCCCATGATCCGTCTCCACACGCATCCACGAGCATCAATTGGCCGTGAAGAGGTGTGACTATTTGTCCGAAGTGGCTATGCATTGCCTCGACACAGGACACACCTCTGCATGGGACAAAACACGCATCGTCAGAGTTTTTCCTGCCAAAAAAGGCCGAGATTTTCTTGAGACCATGCACTCCGACGACCCATGCATCAACCGCCACATAGAGTTGGATGGTATTTATAAACACATCAAAGAACGGTGGAAAAGACGAAGGCCGCACGACACAGACTGACTGAGGCCACACCTACCAATCAGGTTTCGTCCCATATAACTATTGATTTTTTCCGCACGGCTGAAATTTGAGTTGTTCATTACGGATTTCCTGTTAGTCGGAAGACAAGCTGGAGCACCAGACTCGAAAATTTACTAATTAAAGCTACCTTTTTATCCCAAAGGACATCTTCTTCAAATTAAAATTTCTTGGGATGTGTGTTTTCCAGTTTATACGAGTGGATAGACGGCATTCAGTTTTGCCTTCTGACTGCACTGGATCAGGGAAGAGGTGTGGGTGGCTCTGCTGACTACAAAATCGCTAGGCGGTGTAGTCTGCCTCCTCTGTGTTGCAACATTTATTAGACTAAAAACAGAGAAATGGTTAAGCTCTCACCTGTTTCCCCGCGCTGACACTCTGTTTGAATGATACGGCTGATTGGGCGTGGGAAGAAGACGACCTGAAAATAAGAAGACGCAACCATTACAACCACAAATATGACTAAAACATGGCGATAGGCCACAGGTTATTGCCCTGTAGGGCTCCAGTCACAAAATGGTATGAGCACGTGTTCGACGGGGCCTACAAAACAAAACGCCTTTGATCACAACTAGGTTGGGGTTATTTTTCATGTAGCGCGCTACTAAAAACATGCATTTCTGCGAGTTCGCAACATCAAAAATTAAAAAAAGGCCCCTTTGCAAGTTTACGGCCCACAGCAAGCGTCATCTATGTAGGCAAACAATGCTCAAAAGGGGAGGATGCTCAGAGTTTAATTAAGAACTTTCTGCAGACTATGGTAGGTGCTGCTCAAGGTCAGCGCTATTAGATAAACAATTAAGGTACAAATCACTACTGTGCACGCTGAGAGTGGCGCACCTAAACACTTCCAAGGATTTAATTGTCAGTTGTGATTGCAAGACGAGT